GGGGGGTTAGCGTAAGGTTGCTAAAAAAAAAACCAAAAAAAAGAAAAGATTGGTGCTATCACGACTGAGATTTTTCCAGCAGGCCTCATTCCTGTGTTGTGTGTGCCGCTGCAATTTCACTTTTCATGGAATGGCCCGGAAGTCAGATTTCAACACCTATTTACCAGCATAAGGGGTATATTGGTTAGGCTCTTCACCTTACACGCAAAGACATAAATTCTATTACTAAGTTGTAAAGACATTTTCCTGAATACCTCCGACTTTCTGTAGGGATGCAAAATCCCACACAGCCCTTACTGACCAAGCAGACAGGGTCAAAACAGCATGCCTCCTAATTGATCTTAACTGTGTAGATATGCGGGATGTAAAATTTATCAATAACAATAGCTCTTCAACAACCGTCCCATCTCCAAGTCTGTTATAGCTGGATGTAGTCTTTCCCTGTTGAATCTATCCGTGTACACATAAATTAACTTCCGTAGGCCAAACGCGGTGCTTCCATCATCTTTGGCTCAATGACCACCCTACCCCAAGTAGCACAACCTAGCCTATGTCCACAATGAAGTAAAAATCACACAAGTGACATAAGTGTCAGCGGGAAGGTACTATCGTCACGACCTTTTCCCATCCAGTATAGCTGTAGCCGGGACATAAAGAGTTCTAACCCTAATAATCACATGAAACTGACCTTGTCTGGAACATCCTCATGGACTGCATGTCCACACTGAGGCAATAAATTCATCTGGAACTTTCCTGTGGAAGACATAAGACATAGCGTTATGTCATTAAGTCAGAATACATCCCAAGACATACTGTAGCATTATGTCAGTATGTCAGAATACATCTGTGGCGGACAAAAGACATAGCATTATGTGAGCATATATCTAAATACATGACAAGACATAACATTATGTTAGTATGTCAAAATACATCACATGACCAATATATCACAATATATTGCATTACATCAGAATGAGAGAATGTATCTGAACAGGACATCATTTAATGTCAGTATCCCAGAATATATCTGGAAGTTTCCTGTGAGAGACACAAGATGTAACATTATCTGACATTGTGCTAGTGCTAGTATCAGAATGCATCTGGAACCTAAAGTCAAGGTACACAGACAAAACTAAAAAGAGTACTTTGACACACAAGAGGGGAGCCCTTTATCCCTAGGCTATGCCCCCCCACCTTTCCCCACAACCTTCAACAAAGTAAAGAGAGTACTTGAACACAAGACACTGACACTTTATCTCTAGACTCTAGAGCTCTGCCCTCTCCTTAGAACCTAAAGCCAAGGTACAAAGGCAAAATATCTCTTGACTCATGAGCCTCCCCTTCGGGCAACCTTATATTATTGGTCTACTAGATCTGTCACTATTTCTCACCTTGCATTTGGCCAATGGTCAAGTCTTTGTCCAGTCGGTCAGGACCTGGGGCGGAGGAAAGAGAAAGAGAAAGGAGACATAGATATCACTATACTATATAACTCACACAGTTACTCATTAGGGTGAGTGCGTTTGTGGGGAAGCAACATAGATATACATGGCAATATGGCTCGAACGTTGTTGGGGGGGAGGGGGGAGGGGAAAGGGGGGGGGGGAGAGTAAAGTAAACGGCAAAACAAATGGCTTACACACTACTTGATTCTGGGGGAAAGACAAAAAAAAGCAACAAGATCACACATCTTCTCGATTAAACATCAACAAATTTACTCTCTTTATACAAACTCTGTAGTTTTTTATAAAGAAGTTTTTTTTAAACCTTTTCGTAGGGGAAAAAAAGATGGCTAAGACATTCAGAACCGAAACTTTTAGACTAGAGTATAAAGTGAACAACATTTGTTCATAAACTCAAAATGCTGTCAGCGAAAGAACCAATCCAGAAAAGCATTTCTAATGCATAAATGTGAAAAAAGGCCTAAAAATCTTGTTTACAAGAAAACAAATACTAAATCCCTTTCTTTCTGTGTGAAGCAGCCTTGAATATTACTTGCCAACCTGGGCAACATCGCCCACTGGTGGGTGATTTGGTAACTTGGTGGGTGGTGTGCATCATTCACGTTGTGACAAGTGTTGTTATCCAATGTCCACTTAGAAAATACATGTTAGGTGGGGGGTACAAAAATGTTAGCCTCTTAACTCACTGACTACTGGCCCCTTTCACCAATCACTAGCGCGGAGTACTGGCATTTTTGGGGGTATTTCAAAACATCACCACAACTCTCAGAATTACCCTATTGTAATTATTTTTTGACACAGTAAAGTTACTTTCAAACTTAATCTATTGCAAAACATTTAAGTTCTCTAGGTCTAATATTTTATTTCTTATGATTGTTTCAAAATTGGAATGAATTTGATTTCCCAGATGAGGTGACTGTCCTTCACCTTCAATTACTTAATTACGAAACAAGAGGCAAAACTAGCACTGGAGTCCGTTTCCGTACATGTGACGGGAGCACAAGACACGGAACAAAATCGAAAGTCCACCCCGTCGGGGGTACAGGATCCGCACCTGCGAGCCGGCCGCCTGCCCCGTACCTGTGACTGGAACCGTAGTCAGTGGGTTAAATGTGGCAAAAGTTGGAGCTGGCTATAAAAAGATTGACAAGCATTGGTCTAGAACATTCTAGAACAAACCTGCCAGGATTAGCATCTTGGGTGGGCTGCATGACAGGAACTTCTGAGACAAACCCTCAAACCAGCCTGTTGGAACAAGAGAAGAAAATGTACAAATGATAGGAGCACGAATGAAAAAAGAAATTCAAAACGACTGAGCTCATAGCTTCAGCCTGTAGTACTGTGTGAAGACCCTCCACGAGTACCTTTCACAATAGACACAGAAGAAAAACAAATAGTCAACAAACAGTTTTTCTTCAAAATCAACAGCAGAAAGAGTGAGAACACTCAAAAATTGATTTATTTCAAATACGGTGGAAAAAAGCTAACAGTATTTTCTAAAATGATTCTGAAATACTTGTACGTGATGTAAAGTACAAATAATTTTAACTTCTTCTAGGTACCGCAAACTGGCCGTGCGCCCCCGTGGCGCACTGTCACGGAGACCAAAACCCACATTTTTACCCTCCTAAAACACCGTGTGATCATGCATACACACAGACACTTGATATATCAGAAGAAAGAGGAGCTTTTCCTCTTTTTAGTGGTATTATTTATTTGAATCAACGATTCTTTTGAAAGCAAAATCTTGCGCGAAAAAAGACAACACTATCGAGGTTTTCACTGTCGCGGCCGCGCGTTTCGTGTATTGATTTTTCGAGTGACCTCGGTTGAACAGGAACGGGGAGCGTATGGTATTAAATACTGCAATCTGATTCTTCGATATTTCAAGATGAGAAGACGCTCTTTCCGGTGATATAATTCTAAAGACTGTCCTTTGAGAATTAATAGAAGAGATTTGCGTGTGAAAACTTTCGGTGTTGTTTTTTTTATGGAACCAGTGATCGGACTGACTACGGAAATATATCGGCAGAAAGCCCATTCATTCCTCTTCAAGAATAACACAGCCATTATACGCAAATAAACACCGGACGCTCCCTGTCGGCTTGCAAGCAGGGCACCATCGCCCCGGTTTCGTATAAATTCTCTCTTCTTCCCTTCAGCGTGGCCCGGCGCGCAGCCGATAAGCCGGTGGTCGCGAGTGGGGATTTTAATCTCCCCTTGTATTTCTTGCCGTTTTGGTCAAAAAGCCATGTTTACGTCAATAAATTTCCATCTTCTGGTTATTTGATAGCCCTGAAAAAAATTGAGCTTGTTTTCTATGTTCATAGGTGTGTGTCTACAAGTTTTTGTGAATGTCCATTCAAATTTAAGAATGTTGTGACATCTCAAAGTGTAGACATATCGCAATTAAAAAACTGTAACATTTTTCTGCCACTTCAGATGTTCATAACTTTGTTAAAAATGAAGCTATATGTATAAATTTGGTATCAAAATGCTCAGAATGATAAATTCTATAAGGTAGTGCAGTTAACTATGAAATCAGAGGACTTTGAAATTTCAGTTTGTGGTACCTACTTCTTCTGTGTCATGTGACAAAAAGGACCAGCAGCTTTTGTAATTTTTGTGACAATAAAATAGCAGCTCCTGAGTGTGGCTTGTCACAAAAAAGTACAGAAAGATTTTCATCACAAAGGGAATAACGAAACAGCAATTCTTAAAAATTTCTGAAGTAGTGACTGCACAATAACAAAACTTTCAAATGATTTTTTGTAGAAGCATTGGCACTGACTATGGCGACAACGCACAAAGTTGGCATTGCGTTATTCTGTTCTGACTGAACGCATAAGTTATTGTGCGTATGCACTCTACCTTCCGAACCCAGGAATTGATCTCACATGTGTTTTGTGTACCGTAAGTGTAAGACATACCGTCACATTTCTACATCATGACACCAGTACGGAATGAAAAAATGAAAGAATTTATACAATGATCATTCACTACAACAAAAAACATGAAACTATACAAGCACCTTTCCAGAACTTTTCTGTCTTGGACAAATCAATCCTCCATGTGTACTTGTGTGTCTGCAGGAAAAGCAATTCACAAAATAAGACACACTGCTGTGACAGAATAAGGGCACAATTAAGAAATCCCTGGGACCACATAAAAAGAGAATAGAACATTTCTATTCACAAATAGTCGCTTTTAAGCACAAGGGGGCTATCCCGAAAAATGCTGTTTTGAGAAAATCGAAGGTACAGTTTTTGCCCCTTGTTCAGTTTCTTTAAAAGACAAGGAGAGTTTTCTCTATAACCAAACAAATATACACACCAATAAAACCAAACTTCTCCTATAGGAAGGGCAAAGGTCACTTTTGGTGTAAGTCAAGATTTCTAGAAGCCCCCGAAATATGGGTTAGCCCGCTTGTCCTTAAAAGCGACCAAATCTATAAAGGAACTTTTGAGAGACAAAACCAATAGAACATCTTTGTTTACTATTCTATGAAGAGGCTTTGATAAGAAAGTAAGAACATTTTAAACAGCATCATTAATCACTAATCTATGAAAAGACAGAAGATCTAAAAAAAACATCTCTATAGACTAATCTATGGGGGGGGGGGAGGTGGGGCTTTGGAAAGGCAGAGGAAAGAACATCCTTAACACTGTGGGGTCACCACAGGTCACAAGATCAAAGTTGAACCTGCTGCAATCCATCTGAAGGACTCTTGAATTCCGTCTGTGCAGAAGATGATGATCCAGATGAGGGCTCCCTCTCCTCCTCCCCTTCACCATCCACCTCCTCTTCGATGATATCATCAAAACTCCCCTGGTGCTCCAGCTCCTCAGATCCTGTCTCTTGTGTGTCCATCCTGAAAGGGAAATGAGCTTTAGGACGGTCCCAGAGTGGCTCTGTAGGTCTGTATCTGGGCTAGCATGAGGTATGCTCGCTGCGTGTCAGCACAGCCGCAGTGAGGGTTGGCGTCTGGCAACTGACTTGCTATATTATGTGGGCCTAATGTGTGCCCTGTGCCATGTTTTACTGTCAAGTTCATGCGATGCAACAGCGTTGATGGAACATCATACACAATTTCCATGACCTTATTTTGACAAATACAAGTATTGTCAAATCAAATGACCTTTCAAAGAAGTGACAACCCATTGTAAAAATTTAAAAGCTTTTTATCCTTAATTTTGTTTTGACAAAAACTAAGAACTTTAATTAAGGACTTCTCTAAAGACCTGTGGGAACCCTGTGTGAGAGTTTATACACATCCTCGCTCGTTTGGTCTGTTTTCCTTCTTTCATAATTCCAATCTCTTCTTCATACGGTACGATATTCTTTCATCCTTACCTATCCCTTGTTTTGAGATCTGTCTACGGATTGGGGGGGGGGGGGGGCTGCCCAGTTTGTCACAGGCCCAGTTTGTCACAATTTCATTTAAGCATTTGAGTATTATATATTGATGACAGTCATAATTACAGCACTTAAACACTGTAGTTGTAACTAAGTTTTTTATTCTCCACCTTCAAATTGGTGGCGTAGAGATAGGTGTTCAATATTTCTTCCCTTTTGTATGCAAATCAAAGCAAATTACTTTGAACAATTTCAACAGTGAATGTTCTTTCATTAAAAACAATAGAAAAATGAAGTTGAATTCAAACTCAATCAATCATTACGCTTTGAGTGTCAGTGATAACTTCCATCATGCAGAGCACAGTCGAGGCCTGTGACAAACTGGGTCTGTGACAAACTGGCATGCTTCCATCTACGGACACAGCACACCAGATGTTTAGATAGATCTTGACCTGAATATGTTAAGATCAGATGTAAATTATAATCTATATCTAGAATCTAGGCCTTTCTAGGGACATCCCTCTGCATCTCAACTCCTGAACTATGAATCTAGATCTAGATTCTAGTCCTAGATTCCAGCCTAGAAGCACACAGGCCTACGAATGTAAACAAACAGTCAAAACTAGGTCAACCTTTCAATTGGAAACTTTAATGTGTGATAAAGAGCATTTTTTGGGATTTTGTGATCAAGTGTTGATGCTAGCATCAACATATAATAAGTAAACCACCTAATAATACTAACTTCTTGCTGATTTTGATTATCTGTGAAGAATTTTTGTCGAAAATGAACACAAAGCGAGGCTGCGTGCTAGATGTGTTTTACAACACTGTTGAATAGCACGACTGACGCGTCGAGCAGCCCCGTTGATAACAGATAGACCACACAGCGACGCTGCTCAAGCACACATAATGTATAGTATTCATTTGCACGGTGCGCGCTAGGCGAGCTACAGGTCAGACCTACAGAGCCACTCTGGGACCGGCCTTATGGTTCCAATCATATTGTTCTCCTTGTTTTTGTACAAGTTTGCTGGGGATGGGGGTAAGTTCACTGTCGGGGGTTTTTTCAGTAGTCTGTTGAGGTTTTTGGGAGAGCTCGGCACCTTATGCAAGACACAATTACACAAAAAGGTCATGTCACGGTGACATCAGCAATACAACAATTATTATACAAGTGTAAGTTCATTCACCTATAAGCTTTTACTTCTCAGGCTCAACAAATGACAGACTTTCTCTGAGACAAATGGGTGATTAGACTGTCCTCAGAGAAAGTTGCATTTGAAAATGGCAAAAGTTGCAAAAAGTTGCAAAAAGTTGCAAGAAAAATCAACAAAAGTTGCAAGACGTGTACAGCTAAAATGTCATGGAATTATTTGAATACATTGTTGGTATGTTCATTGCAATCAAAGTAACCAACGTGAATTTTGTTAGATCAAAATCAAAAGTTAAATATGAATGTCTACCGTACCCAAAAACAAAAAACAAAAAAAAACAACTGCATGGAGGTTGCATAGACTTGTACATGTGTCAGGTTCTTAAATTTAAACTCTCACTGACGTTGGGCAGGTGTGACCAGCGCGGTTTGGGGGCTGTTCAAATATAATCGTACACCTTTTTCAGGATTCCCCCC